TGTCTCCTTGGCTTCCACAAATGCTTCCTCACGCTCATCATTTCAGGGCAGGTTATTCCTCTCACCAGTACCATGTATTCAAATGTGAGCTTACAAATATCAGTCACGTACCGTTGGAAAAGACAGACACTTTTAGCCTGGTGAAGCCAATCAGTCATGCTTCCTTACAGATACGAAGTGCAGTTTGGTTATTACATATACTGGGAAAGTTTTGTGAGACAGGCCACTGATGCTAGTTTTCTGTTGCTTTCTTAAGGTGTCAGATCAACTAGGTGTATGAAGGCACCTTCCACAGTAACAAGCAGCTGCAGACAATCGTGCTGACAGAAAACGTGCTCATGTTTGTGTCTGACACAGCATTTGCTGGCCCACAGTCCCTGAAGCAGCTTGTCTTAACACAGACAGGAATAACCAGTATATCTTTTATTCCAATGCCAAATCTGGATAGTTTGGATACTCTCATCCTGGGCAGCAATCACATTTCTTCATTGCAGCTCCTTTCCACCTTTCTGACTCAAAACCTCAAATACCTTGACTTTCAGGTGAACAACATAAAAGCAATCACAGCAGAAGATGGCTGCGTTCTGCAGAAGACCAGCAATGTAACTCTCATCTTAAAAGTCAATAATATATTATACATTGAACCTGGAGCTTTCCAGTCCTATTTCTACAGTTTGAACTTTGGGGGCTGCACTGACATCCCTAGGGTCCTGGCGGTGATACAGAACTCCACAGCCCAGATCCTTTGGTTGTGAACATTTCACAATGTGGAAAAGCAGCGCTACATAAGCCCAGATGTTTTACAAGGCCTCTGTAATATCTCTGTCAAGGATTTCTATTTGCAGCTACGGCACTTCAGAAACCTCAGCATGCTCCGAAAGCTGGACCTAACTCAAACCCACATCAGCTCGTTGCCCTCTCGTATCCGTGGCATGAGCTTGCTAACAGAGTTAGTTCTCAACGCGAACATCTTCGAGCACCTCTGTGACATCAACTCTGCTGCCTTCCCCTCCCTCACCCAGGGGGAACTCACATGGCCTGCAGCTGGGCTCTGGCTGCTTGAAGAAATTGGAAAAGCTTCAACATCTCGACTTAAGTAAGAGTCACTTTGAAAGCTTTGAGCGCTGTAATGAAGCACTGAGCGGTCTGAGCAGTCTTAGGTACCTGAATCTGAGCCACAACATAAAGCTCCACCTCCAAGACATGTTCATTAAGGACAGTGCTAACTTGGAGCTGCTGGACCTAGTTTTCACTCCTCTTCATATCAACCCTTCATAGGGTCCTTTCCAAAATTTGCTTCTCTTGCAAGTGCTGAATCTTTCCTCCTCTCACATTAATACCAGCATTCAGCATCTCTTTCAAGGTCTGGAAAACCTCATGCTCCTGGACCTCAGTCAAAATAACTTTGAGTGGGGGATCATGTCAAAGGACAAACTGTTCCAACAGATATCCAATTTAGAGGTGCTAATTTTATCGTCCTGTGAACTTACAGCCATAGGTGACCAAGCATTTCACAGCCTCAGGAAGTTACGACATGTTGATCTGAGCCACAACAAACTTACTGCATTCAGCACTGATGCATTTTCAAGTCTCAAAAGCATTTATCTTTTTGCCCACAACAGAACCCGTATTGTAGCACAGGACAAGCTAACGTCCCTAGCTGGCCGCTGCGTAATCAATTTAAGTTACAACCCTCTGGAATGCACCTGCTCCAATAGAGGTTTAATTACCTGGTACAAGCAGAATCTGGACAAAATTGAAGACCCTGAAGGAACAAGATGTTCTGAACCCAGATGGCTTGCTGGGGCTC